GACAGCCCGCAACGGTTCACTTAAATGCTGTAATATCACCGCAATCCTCAGCACAAACACCCGACATGTGCGTTTGATGCTGGGCAGACTCGGGCGAGACCAACTCGGTTTGGAGGGGTGGCGCGCTGTCAACATGTACTTCGATTTAAGCAATCTTTGTTCAGTGGGTTCTTTTTTAGAAACTCAAAGTAGCGTTATGATTTCGGGTTTATTTTGGGTGTTGTCTTGATTTAAAATCGTCTCTGCATGAAAGCTGTAAGCATATAAACGGCGAATAACCGCAAGCGGAATCCCCCGCTCAGGCAATGGGACTTCGTACGTCGCTGCCTTTAAATGAACAGTTCAGATAAATTGACAAGGACAGGATTATGGAATAAATACTCATAAAAAAATATATTTCCTCTGGTTTATTTGTAATGTATTTGTTCCGCTTTGGTTCACGTATTGTGTATTTATCCAGCTATTGATAAATCTAACTATAAACTAAATTAACATTAATTAAATACTGAACTTTAGTACAGTTTTGAGGTAATTTAGTCTACTAGCACTACCTATACCTATCCATTCTTTTGTTTGTTTTTCCTTCTTCATTTATGCCACTTAATACAGCTATACTTTACACTTATTTGGCTGTTGCTTACTTGAAAAAGTAAGTGTGAAATACTTTTACAAAGCTGGAGACAAATTTAAATTTTGGAAAACATTTTATGAATTAAAAATTACAAAAGGAAAACACTTTCACAAAGGACAAAACAAAGTTTAACGCAGTCTATTGGGCCATATTTACCTTTATTTGATAGGACAGCTGAAGAGAGACAGGAAAAGGCTTACACACTTTCAGAAAATTCTAAAAAAAAAATCAGGATATTTCCAGGAGGAGCTGCATGTGTGAACGCAAACAGCCAAATTTTTCATTCAGACTTCACCCGGAGTTTCTCCTGCCACACACCATAGTATTTTTTTCCACAGCAAATCCAAGTCAGCTGATGTGAGAACGCAGCAGGATATTCTCTGGAGAATTCACCTCGAGCCAATGGGAGGGGGGAGTGACGTGTATACTGTGACTGCTGCACGGTGCATAAAGTGTATACACCGTACGATCTCCATGCAGGTAATTAAACGACTGCATTAAGTTTTCTGTTGTCAGTATGTTGTTCTCACTCTTTAGTTGACATTGTGATACAGGAATAGTCTGCATATGTGAAAACAGGTTAAGTGACCGCTTCTGGCATTTGGTACATTCCCTTTCCATCAAGATTCTGGCATTTGTAAATTCCTCTCAGCGCTCGTAAAAGTGTTTGACACCTTTTAAATTTGTTTTCTAAAATGTAAATAATTATTTCCAGAGAGTGAATTTGTCTTTTGGTTTGTACTTCCCAGCCACCGTACAATACAGATTCAGACAAACCATTCAACATCATTCGCATTAATAGAATCAAGAGGAAATCACAAAGCAGTTGGGGTATTTTTGGACTACAAATAAGCATTTGACACAATAAATCATGAAATACTGATCAATAAACTAGAACGATACGGCATCAGGGGGATCGTATCGTAGGCAACAATTTGTGAAGTTGGGGGAGTTTTAATCATCGTGCTTGGACATTGCTTGTGGCATCCCCCAGGGGTCAGTGTTGGGTCCTAATCTGTTTATTTAATACATTAATGACATACTGTATCTAAAGTCTCTAATAAACTGAAGCTGGTCTTATTTGCAGATGATAACAATATTCTTTGTTCAGGTGAGAATCTACAATTATTAGAGGTTATTACTACAGAAATGGCAACAATTAAAAAGTGGTTTGATAGAAATAAATTGTCATTAAATTTGAATCACATAAAAATTATTTTATTTGGTAAATATAAAGCAAACACAAAAATACAGTGACAAATAGATGGTGTCACATTGAAAGAGTTTATGTATACACATTTGTTGGGGTAACAATAGATAAATAAATCACAAATCTCTCCATACCCTCTACAGTACACTTGTTTTACCATATTTAAGTTACTGAGAGGAGGTTCGGGGCAACACATATAAAAGTTAAGCGCACTCACTCTCCGTACTTCAGAAAAGAGCCATAGGCTTCGTTCATAACGCTGGATATCGGGATCACACTCACTCATTATTCTTGCAGTCAAAAACACTCAAACTCACAGAATTTCAAATAGCACAAATACTGTACAAAGAAAAAAAACTATTTACTACCAGCAAATATCCCAAAACTATTCTTTGATAGAGAGGGGGGTTACAATATGGAGACAACTGAATCTCAAAATTCTGGCCACACGCACAACATTCAGAAGTTTTTCTATTTCTATTGTTGGCATAAAACTTTGTAACAGTTTAAATGTGGAGCTGAAGCCAAGTCCAAGCACAAACAACTTTTAAAACATGTACAAAAAAAATAAAAACATTTTCAGAAAGTATAAGGACGCAGAAGGGACTAAACATTTGCTGCGTGGTTATGATGGTGATTATAACGGTTGTTCATTTTTTTTTAATAAAAGGACTGAAGGTATATATGTAAATATGTTGACAGGTATGGTGAAGGGTAAATAGGTAATGGAGAAAAAACACTAACTTAAATGTATTACTACTAACTGTATATCATTAATTAAGGGAGAAGAACATGAATATAGAAGATAAAAGAAATCAATACATGTTAAAATATGTCAATGGTTGATAAATGATAGACAAACAATGATAGACTCTCTACTGCGATGGAGGTGTGCCCATCTTGGACAAGTATAAATTAATTACACCTGTGCATGTTTGAAAAATGAAATTATATTTTGCAGAAACACATTTGTATTTAATTTATATATTTTGTATGTTTATTGGTTTATATATATAAATGTGTATTGCAGATTCGTTATTTATTTATTCGTAAATGAAGATTAAATAAGGAAGCCTGTTCAACTGTTAACTACAGATTAACGGAGAGGGGTGGGATTCTATAAATTCACACTTCTTCCCACTTCTTTACGAACATGAAATTCAAATGTTCTGTTGTCTTATTTACTTTTCTTTTTGTGGATCTGTTTTGTTTGTTTTTTTATCCTGAAACAAAGGGGGGAAAAAAAGAAAATACAAATTTGAAAAAAAGACTTCAATCAATCAAAAGAATCCCAGCAGAGAAAATGAAAGAATGAGTACACAGATGACAGTAAGATAATAGAAAACAACAGTTGTTTTTAAGGCTGAGTTGACTTCATCATCTTATGTCACTAACAAATCTTATTATTTACATTTGTTTATCCATAAGTATCCAAATCAAGCTGTCACAAAAAGAGCTACAGATCATTATACTCAACATGGTTTTCAAACAACCAGTCAGCCCAAAGTCCAGACACAAAGTTCAGACTTTTAGATCACTGATTTAGTCTCCTCTTCCTCCTCTTCCTCTTCCTCCATCCTGCATGGAGTAATAAGCATTGTATGATTATTCTTCATCAAAATAAACATTAAAATTAAAAGCAGCTCATTTTTTTAATATGATCAAAGTAAGTGAAAAAAAAAAGAAACATGTTATTTATACTTTGTGTCGTTGACCAAAATGTTCATTAATAAAGCAAAATGTCATTTTCTCTGAAGGAGAAGACGGTCTGGCTTTAAAATGTTGATTTACAAAATTTCATCATTAAAATATGAAACAAACATTCATTCATGAACAATAGAGACATGACAATAAAGATCCTTTTATGATATAAATACATTTTACTCACCAATCAGGTGAGAGGTCGGCCAAAAAACGTTCTTCTTGGACTCGAAGATGTTCCCTCTGTTTCTGCAGACGTTGCCATGTTTGATACCTGCAACAAGAGACACACTGATGATGCTTTCTTTATTACAAATGAAATATGAAGAGCAAAGCAGACACTGAGCAACACATTAAACACTGTGTTGTTTCTTTATTCCATGAATGACACAAAGGATCAAAGTAGAGAGGAGGTGTTGATGTTTCAGTCAAACATTTGACTTGAAAACTCAACATCACTTCAACATCTTTTAAACAGGAGCATGGCATTTGCTTTACATCAACCATGGGGGTTGTTTCATCTTTAAGGTCTTTGCACACTGAGTCTGTTTTTTTAAAATGTGTTTTTCAGATCTGTAATCCGATCAAAACATTACACAGGAACCTCACACTCTGAGTCAGATGTGTTCAAACAGAAAAACAAACCTGTTCTGAAAATAATAAAGACAGATGAAAGTTTTCAGAGTGCAAACATGATCGACTCAACATGAGATTGTATTTGTTTTTTCAACATGCAGCAAAACAGACTCAGTGTGTGTGTGTACAAACATGACTGTCAGGATTCATTGTTAAAAACACTTACCTGGCTGGGTTGCTTTTGTCAGATTTTTTAAAATCAATTATTTTTCCGTTTGACCAATCACTGTGGAGGGATAGATCAGATGGACATGCCGATTGGTCGTCATCTCTGAGAAAGCTGAAAAAGAGAGAAAGATTAGATAGTTAGATATCAAATCACAACAACAGATGAAAAACTTCAAGATTAGTCCAGTCAGACTTGATCTGGTTCACTGTGAATGATTAACCCAGCTTCTCATATGGAAATCAAACCTGAGTTTTTTATGAGATATTTCTGAACCAGCAGGAACAATAATTTTATAAATAAGTGAAAATAAAAATCAATTTACCTTTCTGAAGAAAAAAACATTAAAATGATGTTCATAGCTTCATCTGAAAGAATACATACTGTATATGTTGTAAATACATTTTACTCACCAATCAGGTAGGAGACGGGCCAAAACAAGTTCTTCTTGCATTTGAATGAGTTTCTTCTGTTTCTGCAGAAGTTGCCATGCTCGATCCCTGCAACAAGAGACACACTGATGATGTTTCTTTATTACAAATGAAATATGAAGAGCAAAGCAGACACTGAGCAACACATTAAACACTGTGTTGTTTTTATTCCATGAATGACACAAAGGATCAAAGTAGAGAGGATGTGTTGATGTTTCAGTCAAAAATGTAAGGTCTTTGGTCTTTAAGGTCTTTAAGGGCTTCATTACCTTAATTCCTACTTAGACCCATCTTCCTTACCAGCACTAGTTCCTATGGTCAAACAATTTAAATATCTGGGAGAGGTCATTTCTCCTTCTCTTAATAGCATATGACAAACAACTATTGGAATAATTATAAATGTATAACTGTCGATCTAGATAGATGGGTCAAATTCCCCATTTCTCTTCAGGCTCACGTCTCCATAGTAAAAATGGACATCCTACCACGGGTAAACTTCTTTTCCTCCATGTTGCCATTACCACCACTACTGGACATACTAGGACAAGATTCAGTCACTTGTGACTAAATTCATTTGGGGAGGGAAGCGACCCTGTGTTAAGTTATCCACACTGCGATGTCATAAATCATCAGGAGGTCTCTCCGTCCCAAATTTTAAATACTATTCCTGGTCATTTGTCCTAAGGCCTATCTCATCCTGGTTTAACCCTGATGCTGTGGTGTCATGGAAACCTATAGAGGAATACATAGCCCATCCTCATAGATTAAAGGATTTAGTTTACTCTGCCATACCACTAAAACATGCCAAACTCCATCTTAGTCCTATCAATATGGCGCAAAACAGAAAGAGAATCGAAAACAAGTCAGAAGTGGCACACAGCCCTATATTTCATAATAATTCCCTTCTAACTGGGTCTGTTCCATTTGCATCTCCAGTGTGGGAGAGCATCCATACAAGTGTGTACATCCATGTACATCCAGCAAGTGTGGTCTAGGGAACTGGAGGTAGCTTTGGAGGATGATAGTTAGAAAAAGATATGGGGAACTATCGTTGACTCTTCCAAAAACCCAAACCTCCAACTAATACACCTTAACTTCATTCACAGAACCTATCTTACACCCAGGAAACGTTACCTTATGAAACTGTCTTCTTTATCAAATTGTGATCTCTGCCAGATACTCATGTTGGCTCATTTATGCACATGTCTTGGGAATGCATGTAGCAAAATTTTGGAGACAAGTTTGCCTTATTTTATCTAGAATCTTAAATTGTGATATACCTTTGCACTCACACAATACTACCCTACAACTTGCATACTCACAAAAACGCATAATGTTAGCTGGACTTACTGCCGCAAGAAAGATGTTGGCTCTCCGCTGGCAACTTTCACATGTTCTCTCAATATCACAGTGGATTAATACTTATCTTGAGGTAGTTAACATGGAACTTTCTGTAGCCAAAATCCATGGTGCCAATAGAAACACCATATCATCTTGGACGTTGATTTTAACTATAATTGAAGCATTATTAACTACCAATAAGTAAAAGAACTGTGTATTATTGAGAAACAAGTGAATGTTAATGTGATGAATTGCCCTTTAATACTTGGTGTTTTCTACATTTCCCAAAAGACTTAATACACCTCAATTCATAAACTGTTACCTGTGTTGACATATGTGGATTTTATTTTGAATGTGTAGAGAAATGTGTTTTGAGTGTATGAACATGTATGTGCGAATACATGCATCCATATACAGATGCAATTACATCACATATGCAATATGTAAAATAATGTAGTCAGGGGAGTGCGACTTTCTAACTAAGTTAGTTGAATTGTAGCATATTTTCCAGAACTTGTGTATATAGTTGGAGATCTTGCGGGGGGGGGGGGGGGTTTGGTCGCCACGGGAAACAGGGAGTAGGGAGGATTGACAATCTGCAGCTATAAATAAAACTGATTATAGAAATGCAGATTAGGTTTTGCCTAATAATGATATGTTTGAGAAATTCATAATGTTGATTCCTCAGATATGTGATATATAAATGTATATGTTGCCTGAACATGAAAATCAATAAAAGTTAGAAAAACAAACCTGTTCTGAAAATAATAAAGACAGATGAAAGTTTTCAGAGTGCAAAAATGATCGACTGGAGATTGACATGAAATTGTGTAAGTTTTTTCAACATGCAGCAAAACAGACTCAGTGTGTGTGTGTGTACAAACATGACTGTCAGGATTCAATGTTAAAAACACTTACCTGTCTGGGTCGCATTTTTCTAATTTTTTGAAATTAATTAATTGTCCATTTGACCAATCACTGTGGAGGGATGGAACAGATGAACTTGGTGATTGGTCGTCATCACTGAGAAAGCTGAAAAAGAGAGAAAGATTAGATAATTAGATATCAAACCACAACAACAGATGAAAAACTTCAAGATTAGTCCAGTCAGACTTGATCTGGTTCACTCTGAATGATTAACCCAGCGAGAGCGGGCGAGAGCGGCTTCGTTGGTTCTCCGTCGAGTGGAAAGATGTCCTTTGATGTCCTTTCGTTGCAGGACGGAATAAGACCGTTATCTTTCTGATAATCTGTTATAGTCTGACGCTCTCCGAGAAACTGAGATGCGTTCACTCTGAATGATTAACCCAGCTTCTCATATGGAAATCAAACCAGAGTTTTTTAATGAGATATTTCTGAACCAACAGGAACAATAATTTTATAAATAAGTGAAAACAAAAATCTATTTACCTTTCTGAAGAAAAAACATTTAAATGATGATCATAGCTTCATCTGAAAGAATACATACTGTATATGTTGTAAATACATTTTACTCACCAATCAGGTGGGAGACGGGCCAAAACAAGTTCTTCTTGCATTTGAATGAGTTTCTTCTGTTTCTGCAGAAGTCGCCATGCTTGATACCTGCAACAAGAAACACACTGATGATGTTTCTTTATTACAAATGAAATATGAAGAGCAAAGCAGACACTGAGCAACACATTAAACACTGTGTTGTTTCTTTATTCCATGAATGACACAAAGGATCAAAGTAGAGAGGAGGTGTTGATGTTTCAGTCAAACATTTGACTTGAAAACTCAACATCACTTCAACATCTTTTAAACAGGAGCATGCGTTTGCTTTACATCAACCATGGGGGTTTTTCATCTTTAAGGTCTTTGCACAACGAGTCTGTTTTTTTAAAATGTGTTTTTCAGATCTGTAATCCGATCAAAACGTTACACAGGAACCTCGCACTCTGACTCAGATGTGTTCATTCTTCTCTTCATTCTGAAAATTGTCAGTGTGAGACAGAATGGAGTCATCGAGCCGTGAGGATGACTTTGTGATTCTTTCAGTCCTTAAAAAATAAATAAATAAAAACCTCTGGGTCCACCCACTCCTGAAAACAAGACAAGAGCCAGGAGAGTTTCCCCTGTTGATAAAAGAGCTGCAGAATGCTCAGCATCACTTCAGGTGTATTTCAGGATGTCAGAGTTTGATACGCTGCTAGCTATACTGAAACTACACATTAAAGGAACACCACCAATTTACACACAGAAACTGATCCTGAACACGGATTGGAAGATGCAAAAAAAGTTAGAAAAGCAAACCTGTTGTGAAAATAATAAAGACAGATGAAAGTTTTCAGAGTGCAAACATGATCGACTCAACATGAGATTGTATTTGTTTTTTAAACATGCAGCAAAACAGACTCAGTGTGTGTGTGTGTGTGTGTACAAACATGACTGTCAGGATTCAATGTTGAAAACACTTACATTTCTGGGTCACATATTTCTAATTTTTTTAAATCAATCATTTTTTCTTTTGACTGATCACTGTGGAGGGATGGATCAGATAGACATGACGATTTGCCGTCATCACTGAGAATGCTGAAAAAGAGAGAAAGATTAGATAGTTAGATATCAAACCACAACAACAGATGAAAAACTTCAAGATTAGTCCAGTCAGACTTGATCTGGTTCACTCTGAATGATTAACCCAGCTTCTCATATGGAAATCAAACCTGAGTTTTTTATGAGATATTTCTGAACCAGCAGGAACAATAATTTTATAAATATGTGAAAACAAAAATC